CCATGTTTCGTGAGGATAGCATAAACGCGGATAATACTTGCCCTTTTCTCCCTCATAAAATTTCACGTACCAACAAACTTTGGCCCATACGAAGCTGAATGACGGCACATCATCATCTCCCACAATGTTGCCCTCCTCCCGTCGCAAGCGAGCTCTCATGAGTCTCAGAAATAATGCCTTTGCTTGTCCATGCTTAACCCTTGTTTTTGAAATGCGTACGGTGCACGCATATATCCCTGTGTAGGGTGGTGCCTTTGCATCGCCCAAGAAGGACCGGGTGTCCCCCGTTCATAATTCGTCGATTGAATCGACGAGGTGATTTGCCAATGCAATACAAGTCAAGCCACACGAGCAGGCACTGACCGGCACAACATCCATAACACAGCAGTCACGAGTCGATGACCAGAAAAAACACCACCACAAGCAGACAGCGGCTTCCCTGGGCACAATGCCATTTTCGGGGCCAGGTACGTCAAGAGGGCGAGTATTCCTGAGTGAATCCGCTTCATCGGCGACGGACTAAACATTACATCACTCTTTTGTCTTCACCTCAAAAAGGCACTGCTCATGTTTCTCTTACCATCGTGGCTGCTTTTCCCTCCAGGATCTGATTTGCCTGGGCGTGGGCAGCGATGCCCTCCTTCTCGACAGCGCGTCACGCTTGGAACTGCAACGTTTATCCAGTGAAGGGGGCAGAAAAAAGCAGCATTTACACGACCAATCGGACGTGTCAAGTGCGCAGCATGGGGAAGATGAAAGCCCAAGTGCAATGGCCAGGAATGGCTCGATTTCCGGGGAGGACCCGCAGGGCATCGACTTGGTCGTGGGGGTCGCGTGGGGCCCGTCCCGGGGTGTGCTGGCCGTGCTGTGGGACAATGGCACCTTGGCGATTGCGGAGAACCCGACGATCACAGGCGCGTGGTCGGTGGTGAGCTGGTTCCACATCCGTAACCCGGAGGAGGAGGAAGGAAGGGAGGAGGCGTCGGAGACGGCGCCCAGGCACCGAGGGGGCGCTTTCATCCCGCCCGAAGCCAATGTCACGGTGCGGTGGTCCAATCACGCGTTGCTGGTGGCGTGGGGCCGCTCTCTCCAGGTCTTTG